TAGCAGCCCGTCCTTGGCAAGCGGCCCAAAGGAGATGTGGCCCGCACGTGAATAGGTAACAAATAAATCTACATTTTCTCTCTACCTAAACCCTTTAGATACTAGACGGGCCTTGTACTTAACAACTGAACCATCAGGTTTAAGTTTTTTGTTTAATTTATTTATTATTTATTGCTTTACAACTATGAGGCAAGTCTAAAAGATGTCAAGTCTTATTTGACTTCAGAGATTCATGTCATCATTAATGATTATTCCCACAAATGTGCATTTACAGAAGTTAAAACTTTTTGCAGACTTGTAAGATCTTCCAGGGTGTATGTTGAAGAAAAATTTGAAACAAAATCTTTAGAGATTTTAGTTCTTTTACTTCAAATTATTTCAGACGCATATTCAACACCCTCACTAGTTTCGTTATCTCTAATAACAATCAATATATTAACCCCCACCATTTCACGTTTTGAATGAAATGTAGTCTAAATAATGGTAGCATTGGATTTAACAATCAATATATATTGATTTTATAGCTAAGAAAAACATATTCATATGCTCTACTAGCCAATTTTATCCTCTTATTATCAAGAACTCATACATAGTGAAACAACCCAACGTTTTAAATAGGATAAATTAAGAGGTCTACTCTTCAAAATCTCATAGGGCGATTCGTTACTATTCATTTGAGAAATAAGGATAATAACCACAAGATTAAAAAATATTTTTTCTTACATAAATACTGTAACACCTTAGGCGATCTCACATCGATAAAGCACGGGAGAGATCCATGGATCATAAGAAAGAAACCGATATTAACTGACTAGACGTGTCTTGGGGTGAAATGGAAGAGTTCCTGTGACAACTCCAAAGTTAAACGTGCTCAATGTGGAGCACTATAAGGATGGATGACCTTATGAGAAGTCACCTTGATACACCCCAATGCAAAATCCGTGAGGGTCTGGGCCTAAAGAGGACAATATCTTGAATAGAAAAGCTTCAGAATGCTACAAGTGGTACCAGAGCCTCTCCGCGTCCCTCTTGAACGATGATAGGACTAAACTCAACGAGAATGTGAGTCCCAAGGGGGTTTATGTAACACCTTAGGTGAATCCCACATCCATAAAGTATGGGAGAGATCCATGGTTCATAATAAGAAATTAACCTTAACTGTCAAGACACGCATTATAACAATTTGGTCTATTTTGACGGCAACATTTCGTCATAACAGGTGCCATGTTTGTCATAATAGGGTTATAATGACCAAAAAATTTGTGACCACGTTCGTTGTTTTGACGTCAAAACAACTTTATTATGACCAAATTTTAGCACGTCGTCATAATATTTTCCGGTGGCATGCTACCCAAATTGTCATAATTGGTTCCCTGTTGTGATGAATAATTTATTACAATAAAGGGTTATTTTCGTCATAATATACTACATTTTGTCATGATTTGCCGCATATTATAGCATGTTGTCGTGACAAAATATTTGGTCAAAATAGTTTGTGACAAGAATATGACAGTTGTGACAAAGTTATACTTGTCAATATTGGTTTGTAATTATGATAAACCTTTGTTGGAATATTTTTAATTTCGAATTACTCTGTATTTATTTTTGCGATTTGATTTCGCCATTATATGTTCAATTTTCAATATGACCTATCAATGTTGTCCCTTTATTTTCTAACAAATTATTTGTCAGAATATGTGGATATTATGATAAATCTAAATTTACTATTAAATGACATACACTACAAAAAATGCAGTCATTATCAATGTTAGAATATGACTTGAATTTGATTTGAGTTTGTTTTGTGTTTTGGGCCTATTCTGTTTGGGTTTGGGTTTGACCTTTTCCTTGTATGTTTGGGAAAATGTATTTGGTTTTCTATTTGGGATTAGGAGAAGAGTTCTATAAATCCTCTTTATCACCCTAGTCTGTAGTAAGGTCAGTCGGGTTAGTTTGTTTGGTTTGTCCGTTTGGAATTTGGTTTGTAACCTGTACTCTCCTCAAAATCAGTGAAATTTGTTCTCCCTTGACCGTGGATTAGTTAGCACAAATTGTGTTAGTGAACCACGTTAAATTTGTGTTCGTCTATTGATCTGGATTGTCGTTTGCACGTTCTGTTCTGACAAGTGGTAGACTCAAAGATATTAGATTCTTAGTCATCTCTAGAATATGTCTAACATTGTTCAAGGTGCGAACAGAACCATCATGTGTCCTCATCCTGACGGAGCCTCTTCCAACAATCTTACAGATAGCACCATTGGCCATAGAAACATGTCCTCCATCTATCTACTCATAAGTTGAAAAACACTCTCTGCTTGGACACATATGATAATCACCTGCAGTATCTAAATACCACACATCCTGATGATGTACCTGTTCATTCACTACTAAGGCTAAACCATCTTTAGAATCAGAGTTAGTTTCTTCCGCCACAGCAGCAAATGATTCCTTCTTCTCCTGATATTTCTTCATCTTTCAAACCAGCAGAATTCGAATTTGTATTCGCCTTCCTATTACCAGATTGTTGTCTCCTACTACTCGTAGTAGCCAACCCAAATGCTTGATTTTCCAAACCTGAACCAGACGCCTTATGTTGAACCTCCCTAGTATGTAGAGCAGATCTGACATCTTCCAAAGACAAACTATCTTTCCCATCAATAAAAGAATCCACAAAATTCTCAAATGAATGTGGCAAAGATACCAACAGAATTAAGGCAGCATCCTCATCATCTACTTTAACATCAATATTCCGCAGATCTAACAAGATGGTATTGAGTTGATCTAGATGATTCCTGAGAGGCGTACCTTCCTCCATACGCAAACTGAACAAACGTTGCTTCATATGCAACTTGTTGGTTAAAGACTTTGTCATGTATAGACTTTCAAGCTTCAACCAAAAGCCCGCGACAGTCTTCTCAACAGCAACCTCAGTGATGATGTCATCAGCCAAACAAAGCAAGATTGTAGAGTGAGCTTTCTCCTCCAAAGTAATCCACTCTTCTTCATCTATGCTTTCCTTCTTCGATTTTCCAGACAACGGAGCCCACAAACCCTGTTGTTTCAACAGTGCTTGCATCTTGATCTGCCACAAACTGAAACGGTTTCTTCCGGTAAACTTCTCAATCTTCATACTGATAGCAGCCATTCTTACTACCAAACAAACTCCAACCAAACTTCTCAAAGCAAAACTTCAGTCCAGCGCCAAATTCCCAAAACCGCAACCAAAGGCTCTAATACCTTTGAGTCTACTCGACAGCAAGGGTTTCAGTTTCAAAGGTGAAGGTGGAGTGTTGTCTGTCTACAAGGGTTCTAAGGTGATTTTGAAAGGTGTCAAGCGTGGTGCCTTGTATAATCTACAAGGTTCTGTTTTGACATGTTCCGTTGGTGATAAGTGCACCAAGTTACGTTGGTTCTGAATGGCAAGTCTCGATATAGATTGGATTTGCCGAATGGTTTGAGTTGTTGACCACCCTTAGGGGAATTTGGAGGCAGGGAGATTCTGTTACAACTGATTTGGAGGAGTTAGTACGTCTGGCAATTCTGATTGCATCTGAGTTTGGCGATTTGCATCGCGTTTGGGTTTGGTGATTTCGATCACATCTTGATATCTGGCGATTACGATCGCATCTGGGTAAATTTCGTGATATGGACCGTGTCTGGTACATCTGGTATTTGAGAGAGAATTCAAGTCAAGGTGGAGATTGTTAGAATATGACTTGAATTTGATTTGGGTTTGTTTTGTGTTTTGGGCCTATTCTGTTTGGATTTGGGTTTGACCTTTTCCTTGTATGTTTGGGAAAAGGTATTTGGTTTTCTATTTGGGATTATGAGAAGAGTTCTATAAATACTCTTTATCACCCTAGTCTGTAGTAAGGTCAGTCGGGTTAGTTTGTTTGGTTTGTCCATTTGGAATTTGGTTTGTAACCTGTACTCTCCTCAAAATCAGTGAAATTTGTTCTCCCTTGCCCGTGGATTAGCTAGCACAAATTGCGTTAGTGAACCACGTTAAATTTGTGTTCGTCTGTTGATCTGGATTGTCGTTTTCACGCTTCTGTTCTGACAATCGACGACACGATTTTCGTCATAATTGATAAAATTTCATCGGAAAATATCTTTTACGACGACATTTCTTCGTCATACGTCGTCAGAAATTGTCCCGTCGCTAATAAAATATTATTGACAAGTCGTCAAAATTACAATATTATTGACGACATGAATTCGTTAGTAATAAAATAAATGACGTCACAAAAGAAATCACTCATGACGGATGAATTTGATGATTTTTTTTACGACAGCTTCATTTATTTTTGACTCATTATGTTTGTAGGTAAACCATTTTTCTGACGAGACGTCATAAATACTAATTATACTAACATCCATATTTCATCGAAAATAACTATTTGCGACCAGAATTTGAGGCCGAACTTTTTTTTTTTGATACGTTGTACATACATTTCCGAGGATGTGTATGCGTCACTAATATATTATTACCGACGTTTAGTCAAAAATATAAATTTTACTGATGCCGACAAATTGTCGTTAAAACTATGTTTTTTCCAACGTGTCGTCGGAAGAATTATTATTTCCGAGGACAACTATTCATCGTAAATAAAATCTTTTCTAACGTGTCGTTGGATAAATTTTTATTTACGATGACAACTATTCAGCATAAAAATAATCTTTTCCGACGTATCGTTGGATAAATTTTTATTTACGATGACACCTATTCATCATTAAAAAAAATCTTTTCCCACGTGTCGTTGGTTATATTTATATTACTGATGACATATGTTTATCTTAAGAAAAAAATCTTTTCCAACGCGTCATTGGAAAAAATATATTTACTGAGGATAGCTAATTATCACAAAAAATTATCTTTTCCAACACGTCGTCGGAGAAACTACATTTACTAATGACGCTTAATTATTGTCAATTGTGCAATTACATCTATTAACGACGGCGACATTTGTTGTTAATTGCTTGATCAAATTTCATTTGTGACGCCATTACACTTCTAGTGATGATAACACAAACAAATCATCCAAACAAAGTTATGCATATTCCAAAATTAACTTTCAAACTGTCTAACAAGTAGCCTCAGCTACGACCAAACATCCAAACTTCAAAAGGCAAAATATCCTTCGAAAATGACACAAAATATCCCAAAGTCAAGCGATACTTAGGATCCTACGATAGCATTAAAAAGAAATTCATGCATCAGCAGTAGTCTCCTCGACAGTCTCCTCATCGGACTCGTCGTCGGACACATCGTTACCCTGAGTTTTCCCAAGTCGGCCTTGTTCCCCATTTGCTTCACTATTGAGATCCTACATAGAATATAACAAATAAATTAGCCATAGCTTCGAAAATTATGTAATGAGTAAAAAATAAAACATGGCAGCAAAATACATACCATGTCGAATGACTTGGGCAGCCGCACTCCAAGTCTCTGCAAGACAGATTCAACAATGTGAGGGACTGCATTCCTCACATCTACGATCTCATCCTCCAACTTCTTCATTTTCTCATAATTTTCCCCCCTTTATTTGGTTCGATCCTCCTGACAACGCTTGCTTCAACCCTGACTACCTTGACTCGATGGGGGACCGAATACATCAACCGAGCTCACCCCATGGCCCATCCCTAGAACACGCTTTGGGCGTTGTGGTCCGATCACTTCTTGATAGACGGCAAATATGTTTGGTTCTTCCCCTTGGGATACCTTTTCACCCTCTGCTTGTATCATTCCATCCTAATCATGGAGTAAACAACATCAATATCAATAAAAAAAAACAAAAACGAGTACAAACAACAGCCTAATACTCTGTAAACAACATCAATATCAATAAAAAAAGACAACAAAACCGAGTACAAACAGCAGCCTAATACTCTATAAACATTATTGAACTTACATGCAGGGTTTTTGCTTTTGACGAAACCCAGTTCTTGTCCTTCTTCACATGGAAACGTCTAAACATCTCGATCGGATCAGGTTCTTTTCCAGTTTGTTTTATCTACCAATCAATTAAAAAGAAAAATTGCATTCACATGTAAACTGAGTACACTGGAAGCCTAACATAAACATTAGCAACAGTGCAGCAACTTACCTATTCATGTCTGTACTTGGCCAACGGTGCTGAACCGCCAGTGACTGCAAGCTCACTCTTCTCCCGATTTCCTTTATTCTTATCACTCATTTCCTTGAATTTGAAACAACAAACAATCAGCTCACCATTGAAAACAGATTAGGATGAAAGACAAACACCAAAGCATACACCCACTTAACTTACCACCCAATTCGGGTTAGTCCATTTCTGAACCATCTCCCTCCAAATTGATGGACTTATTTGCGGTGGTGGATGGTTCATTCTCTGATTCAGATCCTTATACTTCGTGAAAATCGGGTCTCGGAGACAATACATCCACTGGGGAAAGTTTCTCTTCACGTGTTGTCTTACCATATCATTGAAAGTCTCTTCTGACCCTGTGTAAGTGAATCATGAGTCCTTGAAACTAGCTATCACAGTCTCGATTTCTGATGCAAGATACTCTGAGAACGTAATCCAAGGCCCATTGATGCTCCTTTTGAAGATAGCTGAAATTTCACGGGGTGCTTGAGTGGTAATTATCCTGCACAGTTTATAAAGAAGTATCAAACTAAGTAAACTGAGTACATGGACAGGTTATCGTGAAAGATTTGAGACAGGTTGTGCACAAAATTCCAGGGACAGGTTGTGCAAAAAAATTCCAAGGAACATTATTACAGACCTGTTATCGTGAAATTCCAGGGACAGGTTTGTCCAGGCTTTACACCCTTTCCTGGTTCTCTTCCTTTTCTTTTTTTTTTCCTTCCCTATCACAAGGTCAGAACTTATAGTCAGCTACAATGCAAAGACAGAAGTAAGCCAATCGAAATAAAAAAAAAAACCACGCAATGAAACTAACCATTCGAAATTCCACCCTCTGATGACAGGTCCGCAGCTGAATGTTGAGCAGACGAATCAACCTTCTCTGTTTCTCCTTCCAATCCAGTAACAGGGACCTTTGCTCCATTCTCGGAGTTCCAGTGATAGGAACAGGCGGATTGGTGTTCCTGCCACCTTGTCCTTCTTCCCGATTCTCTGAAACAAGAGGCGGAGAAGGAGAGTTGCTCTGCACTGGTGAACGAGGTGCAGATTCTTCCCTCTGGCTTTGAGAACGGAGGCGTTTCTTTTGCTTTGCCATCTAGTGAGAAGAAGAATTCGTTAGAGGGAGGAGAGGAATGGCAGAGAAGAGGGAATGGCAGATGACGAAGAAAAGGATTTTAGGTTCCTTTATTTGGCTCTGCCTACTGAAGCCTGTTTATGGATACTAGGGATCATTGTGTGTAGTTATTGTGTTGTGGTGGGAAACAAGGAAAAAAATCCCACCTTTTTTTTAGGCTAACGAAGAGGAAGAGCAGGTTTATGGTTCTTTACCTTTTCTGAGCAAATCTCGTTCCAGAGATCCCTCTCTACCGTTTTACTCATTTAACGCATTAATTCGTTTTTTGCAATTAAGGTTTAATTACATGAATGAACAATAATTGACAAAGTAGGGGGATTGAACAAACTAATTACATGAATGAACAATGAACCAAATTGCAAAGAAAACGAACCAAAAACAGACCCCATGGATCATGATTCGACAGACTTGGCACCTCAACTTAGCTTAAAAAGTGTCCACAAGAATTGCACCATGGATGAACAACCCATATTCATTGACCAAATCAAAGTAAAAGCCACTGAAATAACTCAGAACAGACCCCATTGTGCAAAGAACGAACTAATTACCTGGAATTCTGATTCAGTCCCAATCAGAGAGTTCTAAGATGCTTTCTGGGTGCATGCATGTTCGATTTACACCTGCAATTGAGTAAATCAAACCGCAGCATTCAAATCCACATCTATGCATATAAATTGATTTGCTTGTACACATCCAATCGAAAGAAAAAGCAAACAAACCTATATTCTGTCGACTAAGAAAGGCGAAGGAACCCATATTCCGGAGAATAAAGATCGCCTCTATGCCCTCATTCATCTTTCTCGATTCGCAATCCGCCGCGAAACCCAGACCCACCAGAGGATTGGGCTCCTGCTGCATCGCCTCGTCCACGTTGCTCAATCCGTAGGCCGATCGGAGCAATCGACGGCGGCAGTGACGTCGCCATCGCGCACCCTGGTTCACCAACCGCCACAGCAACTAAAAAATACCATCGTCGTCTACTCCGCGCCCCCAATCTTCCATCATCGACATACTTGAAATCGCCACAATATTTTGGGTAAGTGAGCAAAAATGAAATCGATTAAGGGTTTGGGTAAACAGAGTGCATGCGAGGAGGGGAGAGGGGTAGATGGAGTGTTTTGTTCTCCATTTTAATTTGTTGAGAATAAATTATAGTGTTAATTGATTAGCTGACATTAAAAAATAAAAATTAAAGTGTTTTATTGAAGCTGACATTAAATTATTTTCCTGCATATGTTCTCCTTTCTGGTTGGAGTACAAAAGGCAAATTGGCATGCCCTTCCTGCGCAGGGAACACCTCACGTTTGAGGTTGAATAAAGGATGCAAGGAATGTTATATGGATCATCGCCATTTTTTTGCCATTGGATCATAAATGGCGCAAGCAAAAGAAGGAGTTTAACGGCACTGTAGAAAAAGACGTGCACCAAAGCGATTATCATCCGAAGAGGTAAAAAATCAACTTCTCTCTTTACAAACTATACCTTTCGACAGTAAGGGAAAAGGCAATAAAATCAATGCGCAAAACTCATAACTGGAAAAAGAAGTCTATTTTCTTCGAATTGACATATTTGTCATCGCTCTTAGTACGCCACAATTTGGATGTCCTGCATATAGAGAAAAATGTATGTGATAGTATACTTGGTACTATTATGAATATTGAGGGCAAAACAAAGGATGGTCTAAGTGCACGTCGTGATTTGGAGGAGATGGGTATAAGGAAAGATCTTCATCCTGTTGAGAGGAATGGGAAAACAGAGTTACCTAGAGCTGCATATAGCTTGACGGCGGCAGAGAAGAAATCCTTGTGTCAGTGGCTATCAAAAGTAAAGGTACCAGATGCTTACTCCGCAAGTTTGGTACGTTGTGTCAATGTTGATGATCGAAAGATACATGGGATCAAAAACTCATGATTGTCATGTGTTCTTGGAGAGGTTATTACCGTTAGCCGCCCGTGACTTATTTCCGAAGGTCATATCGGACACACTGATTGAGCTTAGCAAATTTTTTAAGGACATATGTTCCAAGGAGCTAAACGTGGAAGATTTGAATTACTTGGAGTCTCAAATTGCCATAATCCTATGTAAGTTGGAACGTATTTTTCCTCCTGCCTTATTCGATATAATGATCCACCTGCCCATCCATCTGCCTTGGGAGGCCAAAGTTGCTGGTCCAGTTCAGTATCGATGGATGTATCCTATTGAAAGGTATACTATATATATAACTACACTAAAATTATTACATATATACTGACATTTTGGAAACTTTGTGTAGTTAATTTGACATTTTTTAAACAATTTAGGTATTTGAAGAAGTTAAAAGGTTACGTTCGTAACAAGGCACGTCCAGAGGGATCAATCGCCGAAGCTTATATTGTTGATGATTGTGTCACATTTTGCTCGCAATATTTGACCGAAATGGATACTATATTTAATCGCCAGAGAGAAATGTAGATAAATCTTCATCGTCGTCGCAGCCATCTCATGACCTATCAGTTGTTTCGTGTGTCGGACGTGTCATCGGTGTGAAGGACGACATGACAGACGTCAATACTGATTTGTGGAAGGCGGCAACTTCTTATGTCCTACAAAACTGTGATGAGGTGCAAGATTTTATAAGGTACATATACATATATACCAATACTTATTTATTTATTGTATGCTAGAATATAATTTATTTTAATTATATTAATTACAGAACTCACAAGGAACAACTAAGCAACCGAGGTGTTCGTATGGTTGAAGCAGTGCATAAGCAAGAATTTGCTAATTGGTTGTTATTAGAGGTACATACATGTCATATTTAATAAAGAATTTTGATATTTAAAAATTATCGCAAGCTAATTTTAAGTTTATCCTTACAATTATTTGTAGATTACACGAATGCACAATGATAAAGTGCCAAGTTTGAATCCTTCTTTTTTTACATTAGCTCGAGAGCCAGAAAAACGAGTCCTGCACTACTCAGAATATTGTATCAATGGATTCAGATTTCACACTCGTTCTCGCGAGTTAACTAAAAGCATTCAAAACAGTGGTGTGATGGTGAGAGGGGAGAACGATGGTTGAATTCATTACTATGGCGTTCTCACCGATATCATCGAGCTTCGTTATACGGAAGGGCTTCCTGTTGTATTATCTCAGTGTGAGTGGTATGACACCGCTCGCAAAGGCGTTGGTTACAGGAAAGATCGACATGGCACTATTACCATTGACACAACACGAAGGCTTAGAACAGATGAGCCATTTGTTCCAGCTAGTCAAGCAATTCAAGTTTATTATGTGCAATCTTTAAGAGATCCAAATTGGCAAATTGTGGTTGAAACGCGACCAAGAAATTTGTTCGCGATGCCATCTAATACGGAAGGAGAAGGAGAAGGAGAAGGAGCATTAGACGAAGCCTATCAAGAAGACAATATTTTAATTGATGATCCTAGGGTACTCCAAACCGAGGGAGATGATCTCTTAAACTTGACTAGAGCAGGGTTAGAAGATTAAGTATGACTAATTTGGTATTTGTATATCAAAATATATATTATAAAATTTCCATTAGATTTTTCATAGAACAGTGCTTACTATGTGTTTTTTTATTGATTCAATAATCATTTCTAAAACATGTCATTCTTGTCCGATTTTCATTTATGAAAAAATGTATACGGCAATTTATTTTCTAATAAAGGTTTCAATTTCGTAACTAAATGGTTCAAAAGGATTGTGTATGGCGTACAAAATATATTTGTGCTTACCATTTACTGCTGACGACATTTTATGGCGTAAAAAATGTTATTTTTTCCTGACCAAACTGTGGTCACGAAAATTTTTCCTGACCAAATAGTACTGACGACATGCTTATTGCGTCAAAAATGTGTTTTACGATATCAGAAAAATGGTTTTCCAGACCAAATAGTATTGACGGAATTGTACTGTTGTCAAAATAGAATTGTTTTCCTAACCATTTAGTATTGACGAACTTTTATGATATCAGAAAATGTGTTTTACTGACCAAAATTATTGACGTAATTTTTATATTATCAGAAAAGTTGTTTTCCTGACCAAATAGTATTGATGAAATTTTACTGTTGTAAAAAAAGAATTTTTTCTTACCAAATAGTACCGACGAAGTGTTGATGGAGTAACAATTGGGGTTTTTCTGACCAATTAGTATATATGAACTTTTGGTGTTGTAAAAAAACATTTTCTGACCAATTACTTATGATGAAAAATTCATTTCGTTAAAATTAAAAATTTAATTTCGACGATCGGTATTTTGACGTCAACAATAATTATATTTTCAAACGACATATTTTTGTTGGTTAGTAATAATGATTATTTCTAACGCGTAATATGAAGTCGTCACAAATCATCCGCGTGAGAAATGGAAAGTGGGGCAAAAAATATTTTACTGACGAAAAAAATACTATTTTTGACAAAAAACCACATATGTCAGTAATAATTTCATTATTACAGACGAAAATTGTTTTTCGTCGGAACTATTGATTTTTTACGCATTTTTTTAGTCGTCAGTAAGTTTTCGTCACAATTGCCTGCCTTTTTTGTAGTGATAATCTGCCATGCCACTTTTGCCACCAGATCTGAAAATATGACAATAACATAGATATCCCGGTCATAAGTCCTAAACAACAATCTTTAGAGTAACCAGGCACTGCAACCTTGACACTCGCCACAAATGTTCAACCTTGCAAGACTGTCCTACGTCAAGTTCATCCCAAATTGAGAATCCTTCTGAAAGACAAAAGTTCGAATAGCCCATGATGCATCCACCATCGTCCTAGTCCTTCCAAAATGAGATGGCAACAGTTCAATGGAAAAATTCGCGGTACTACCTGTACATAAGAGAGAAACAATGTCAAGCTCATTCCATTAATTCCAACTCATTCAACTCTACTAATGCGTATGCATTTTTTATGCCTACTCATTCAACTACCCTGATTTCATTCATTCAACGGCTACATTTTCCAGCATCTTATGATTCAAGCGTAGTTCTTTGGGGGTTATTACCTTATTACTATGTTGTTCCATCAAATTTTCGTGCTAGGGACTCCACATAGTTCTTCAGATTGTCCTGTGATTCTTACAGCTGCTAGGTAACCTTCTTGCTTCTTTCAATTTATGTTGCTGCTCCTCAATTTGTTGTTTTAGGGTTTGTATCTGCTCCTCAAAATCTTTCCTCTACTTCTCTCCTTCAGCCATTAAGTTTTCCAAATGCTCTTCTACTTCTTTCTCTTTGCTAATGTAAGTTGGAGCTTTCTGGAACACCATCCAAATTATTTTAGCACCAGATAGTCAGTTCCTTTTTTCTATAGCCTTGACATGAATTCTCTGAATTTCCTCCTGCACACACGACATAAGCTCACATTCATTTGTATCATGGTAGTGCTGAAATATACAACCATACCAATGTATTCCAAATAGACCTCTTACATAGTTGTGTTGGGATTAAACATCGACCCAACTGCCATCACTCTTCCTATGTGTGTCTGTATACACTTTTATTTCCTTGGGCTCTTCTTCCACTACTGCATCAGAGGGTTGGTCACTATTATTCTCCTCCTTGGGTTGGGTGTCTCTTGCTTTGTTTTCTCCTATAATATATCAATGAGAACATTGAAGGTAGTAAAAATGTAGACGAGTTACCACATGTTATCCTCCTCTTCCAATTTCATACATCCACATGCTGCAACTTTTACCACCCCTAGTGTGTGCATAGTTCTGACGAGCATTATCAGGACCAACTTCTGATAATGCTCATGACAGTGGTGCTTAAAGTTCTTGAACTGCTTCGGCGAGTAGTTTAGAGCCTTCCTCATAGCTTCACTAGTCAATGAGATATCAAACTCATACTACAAAAAGGACATAACATTAGTGGATTCTAAGAACATGGG